GGCAGGTTTTCATTTTAAATACTTAGGAATGCACAGTCAACCACAGAGGAGAAAAAAAGTCATAATCAAAAATGACGACCTGAATACTTTTCACCTCTGTACATGGCACACCTGGTTTCCCACCTGTGATCTACATAGTCACCATCTGAAATGTCACTGAAAGTTCACACAAACAGAATGTGTGGTGTAAAGTGTCCGGTGAGTGACTCCTCACCGTCTCAAAGCTGCCTTTGTGCATGAGCTCAATGGGCGGACGGAAAAGGTCTGCCAGGGTGCTCAGTTTCTTATCCACAGTGCCACCGTTACGCAGCTCCTGTTCCTGACGAACTAGGAAAAGAGAACAACATTCATAGTTGTTATAGGAATAAAAGAAAAAGATTTAGACAGAGACAGAAGTGACAGCTTGTCTTTGTTGGTTGTAATTACGCAGTATTAGGCTACACCACATTCGCTACATATTGTTCAAACTCTGAAAGCTTGAATTTACTCACTTGTTTCTGTTTGGAAGTCTCGGAAACCGTCAAATATAGATCGAGCAGGTCTTCTTCGTTTTGGCACTGCATGCATAACAGACACATCAAACTTCATACTCAGCAGATGACGGAGACAGAACGACGAGTAACAGTGATTTAATTTAAGATCTGGTTGCATCATGTTGAATAAGAAAATAAGCAGTACAATACCTCCAAACAATGGTTCTGGTTCCACCAATATGTCCTGCTTCTGGGGAATGGGTGCTCGTACTTCACTGAGACAAAAAAAACCCCACAACACATACAGTATTAGTCACGCAAAGTAATCTAGAGCCAAACATCAATCAAATTGTAAAGATACACTCTCTGATCACCCAGCAGCAACCCAAATCACTGCAGTGCTCTTTCCTCTAGCTCACCGTTAACAACAACTCTAAACTACGACAGAAATTTAGGAGCACTATGAAATTATTAGAGTGTATCTTAAAGAAACTAAAATGTGGCAACTTTTGTCTGAAGTAAGTTTGTAAAAACAAATATCATCTTACTCTGAAGGGGGAGCTCTGCTGCTTGAGGCAGCTGAACTGGAGCTGGTGCTGGGCTCCTCTGCAATCCCACCTCCGTCCAGAAACATGGTCACTGCCATCTCCAGGTTGTTGTTGCATGCTTCCAACATATGTTTTCCTACACTTTCTGTGGCCCCTAAAAGAGTGTTGGACATATACTGTTGTTGAGAAACATTTATAGATTATGTACATCATCAGTAACATTTTATGTTTACAACCATCAGTTTTATATTAAAATAACCTACGGAAATGAGCATACTGATTTTAACACGTTGTACCTTGTTTACTACACATTACCTTCCTTTGATAAAAACATTTGTTTGATAGCTTTCCTTTAAGAGGGCCCTTGGATTCAATTAATTTTACTATGTTGTGACTAGGACCTGACCAATACTGGACTTTAGTTAAAAAGTAATATATTGGCCAATACTTTTAACATAAACAAAAATATGTGATTACAATCCTTTACTTTGATTAAGAATTGTGAACAATATATGTAAAGGACACATTACAGTTTAGAATGAACTTGTCAGTGATTTCTGGGGGACAAACTATGTAATAGGAACACAGTTTATTCAATTACCACACATGCAGTGTATCTGTCATTTCTGGGCTTAAAATTCATCATATAGTAACATCTCTCACTTCAAAATCAGTAAAATAGTGGAATATTTGTTTGAATTAATCAATTTAAGGTACTATAGTACATTATGCATGTTGCATCGGTTTATTAGAAATCATGTATAAATACTGCTAACCATTTTCTGTTTGATTACCAGCTTTTCAGAGGGCCACTGGTTTCCATTCATTTAACCATTTTGTGACAATGCATACTTGCACACAAAACAGGCTTCTCAGTCAATGTGAACATCCTGTTTACTATTGTTTTAGTCAAAATTACATCCTGATTTTGTGTAAACGCAGAGAGCAAACTTTCCAAACATGTGGTCCTCTGAAGTGCAACAACAATGTAGCATTAACTTTATCAATCATAAAAAGATGGATTATCGTGTCTCCAAAAAAGTCTTTGCAAGTTGACTGCAACACTGTACAGACATGAACGAGAGCCAAACAACTTCCTGAAAGTTAAAGTCGGAAAAATGCATGCAGGCTACTAAAAGCCTTTGGTAACGTTGTGTACTGTAGTAGGCAGCAACGCAGCTAAAGTACAGGTTACGTGATTTATAGTGAAAGGCTAAAACATGCAACAAAAAACACCACAACTGTCCTTAAATGTATGAAGATTACGAATCGCCACACTGCACAGAACTATAAAAAATACTCTGAATCTGAGAATAAACTAGATCTGAGGATTAACTTTGGTCTTTTTTTAAGTGAACAGCGCCGTTTGGCTACAATGATCTTTCCGTGTGTACTGCGCATGTCCGTTTCACTTTCCAAGTCTAGCAGCAGCCCCCGAACTGAGTCTCCTCTTTTTCTCCGTTAAATAACTTAAAACTGAACCGCTGTCCATCGTGTTAAAGCACACATAAACTACTGAGGACATCTGAGCGAGTGGTCCGAGACAGACAGTGTGCTCATCGAAGTGTTGTTAGCCGCACAGCCGGAGTGAAGATGACAGTAACACAACACGGAGCCTGGCTGGTGATGAAGAAGCGAAATGTTGCACAGCCGACGTCCATTCCACAATATCAAACAACATGCAAAGCGAAAAAAGGGAGCAGAAAACCACCTCCAGGCTCGCGAAATAGTGTCTTTAATGAGCGCTACAGCGAAAATCTGATATTTACAAGTGGCTGTGGCAGATAATATTAAAAGCTGGTGGTTTTACGGTCCTTTTTCAGAGTCTTTCACTTGAGTTTATCTGATAACTGGCTGTGCTTTTTCCCTCTGCAAAGCACTGACAGCGTAGGGGCCATAGCAAGACTAAACGTCCGTTTTCTTGTCTGCGCACTAATTTCGTGGTTTGCTGGACAAGGGAGCGATTCCTGTTGGATAACCCAAAACTACTTAATAGATCAAACGCAAATTAAAAGGTTATTTTTACCTGTTATTGCTGTGAATTGTTGTATTAACCCATTCACCCCCGGAGCTGAGGTGTCTCCGAGCGCCGCCATCTTACCGCCACAAACAACAACATAAATGTGGCGCATGCGCTACATCGTCCTTTTCCCCCTGACTGGCGCGGCGCGAGCCCCATGCGTCACCACAGGATTGTGCTGCATTGTGGGGGATGTAGTTTGCTCAACAACCACGTTTATTTAAGATGTTGATGTTTAGATTAAACCATGCAGCAGCAGGAACAACATTTTTATGTCTTATCTGCATTTGGTGGTATTACTTTTTTCCAACAAAACTTAATTGAATTGTGATAAAGTTAAAGAAGTATTTCATTTCATTTAGATTTTACATCAAATTTCCCTGCAAAAGAATTATTGGAAAAAATTTAGTAGGCCTACTTATTAATTTTGTTTTTCAGATTCGTAAGATCAGCAGGGTTTCCACTTTATCAAATAATTTTCCAGGAGGTTTTCTTGACAATACAGGACAGCACTTGCTGCAGTTTCGGCCAAATTACTACATTAATTTGGCCACAGCCCATCAGTAACAGTTCAAATTGAGTAGAATTTATTTTATTTTACACAAACTTAATCTTCTAGAAAGTCAAAGTGTTAGTTGCATGTACAATTAACATCACTGTACATCTATTTATCAACCACAACAACAAGACATTTGATTATTATTAAGCTGAAAAAATAGACTCAATGCTAATGCAATTATTGCAAGACAGTTACACTTTGCATCTGGTAAACCTCCGTATATATAGTTTATCCCATCAACAGTCAAGTTTCAAACAAAAAAACAGGTTTATGTAGGCGATCTGAGTGAGGGGCTAAAATACAAAAAAATCCAGGACAACACAGAACATTTCCAGGACATTTGGTCATTTTAATCAATTTCCAGATATTTCTACGACTGGAAAGCTAGTTTCTAAAAGTAATCACATCGGAAAACACTTTATTTTTGTTTTTTGACAACCAGTGTTTTTATCAGATGGAAAACAGGTGTCAAAACATCAAATATGTATTTGATGTATAATGTTGAATCTAGTGGGCTGAAGTTAATTCCTACGTAATTCAGTTACTGATCATTATATCTACCTGGTACCTTAATTAAAGTTGTGAAGAACAAACAAGGTAAGAAGACTTTTGATAATCTTATGAATTTGACCTTTAAATGTATTATTTATTTAATTTAATAGACTTAATTCACTGCTCTGCTCTACACTTCTTGTACAAAGTGTGAACCACATCTACTGTTTTTCACTATTGTTGTTCAATAATGTGAATAAAGTTAAAAATAAAAGATTATGTGTTGTACTTTTCAGTTTCAAAACTGTATTGGATCAATCATGACAAATACTTAATCAATTATTATATTAATGATCGACCATCCATCTCTCCAGAAGTTGATATTCCAGATGCAGACAGGGTCATTTACTAATTCTGAACAACAAGCTGCATCTGTACTTACAGGGGCTGTGGAGAAAATAGCAGATTGGATTATTTATTCATGCTTGACACTGAATTTGTCCAAAACTTTTCAAAAACCTCCTCCTGAAATTACTGTAAAAGAACAAATGCAGATTGTTGACTGCAGTCTACAGATTACAAAAAATAAAAAACAATAAAGAAAAACGTGCTCGTTTTAAATTTATAAGAAATCAGATGAGTGCAGATGCAGCAAAACTGTACATGTACGCTATGACACTGTCACATTTCTCATACTGTGGTACAATATGGTCTTCATAGTCTGTATAAGAGAGCGTTAAAAATCATGGATCTCTCATCATTATTAAGTATTATCTTTTAACCTATGAACTTTGTTTATGGTCAATGTTGGTTAATTATAGAAGATCATTCACATATATCTGGTACAATACATGTATTGTGCATTGTCCATGCTAAATTAACACTTAATAAATGTAAACTACATAGACTTGCTCTTTAAGTAGTGTAATTTTATTGTTATTTGCATAATACATTCAGTTTGAAAACAGCTTCAACCAAGTCCAAAACCTGAATAATCAGTTCTAACAACAACAAGCATCTAGCAATCTGAATAATTGCTCATTCAATGACCAATCAAGGTCAAGTTAAGATCTTAATTACGGTATCTCAAACAAATCTGTTGTGCTGCCTGCATAAACAAGAAAAAAAAAGAATTTCACTTTACAAAGGGAAGGTGATGATGGCACTGACTTTCTACATCATGATATGTCCAAACTATATTTACAAATACACAGAGTGACACTTCCAATCCCACTGGCCAATTGTTAAGTAATTATAGTTAAAGCTGAATATAAAATAACATTACATTCATATCAATAATGCAGTGTCCTTCAGTTTTGCTGATAGTCTAAAATGGGCTCATACAGTGCTTCAGTCGAGGTATGATCAAGATAACAATTGGATTGAAAAGGTTTATAATAATTTAATTTTGTTTTAAAAAGAGCAGCTAAAGATCTCTTTAATACAAACCAGCATATCATGCTACTGTTTTCTTCCCTACAAAGAGATTCGATATTAATAATTACTACAGAGCCAGTTGAAAGTAATCAGACGCTAATGGTCAGTATCTAATGTTGCACAGAAAGCACTTAGTTTAGCATTCTCCACGTAAACTCAGCAGCGCACTGAAATCTGATGCCTCTGTCCACGTGTGACTTTTAGCCCTGAGGTGGGAAATTATTTTCATACAAAAACTGCATCACTTTTTAATTGTAATAGGGAGTAATTCAAGTGCACTCGAGCATTATATACAGTGGGACCATTAGAATAGGTCCCATAGTTTTTGTTGAAGGTGGTCGTCTTTGACATAAATGAGTATTTACCTTGAATCAATACTGAAGGCCAAATGAGAATATTGCAGAATGTGTCACTGTAGTGTCTTTACACATCTGAAAATCTTAATCTTCAGAATGTGTTTTAAATGGTCTGAGCATGAATTAATTTATCTTACATTAGCCCTGCCACTACTGAGTCACTTCACTTCAAAAACAACCTACATTTTACTTTTATCAGTTAAAATAAAATTTATGAACAAGAGAACCAAAGCTGTAATCAGTGATGTGTTCAAGGTAAAAACAAATACATAAAAGGGGGTGAAATACCACTAACCATCTTTATGGACAATGATTTTACATTCTCATGAGCTTTATTTTACTGCAGAGGTCACTCTTATTGATCAGGAAATGGTCCTATGAGTTGTGAAATATCTGGACAAGGAATAGACGAGACTGCTGGACATCAAAATCGGCCTTTCATCAGTAAAGATACCAGTTTATTAAAATGATTCATCAGTATCTGCAGTTTTTTGTTAAAGATTAAAGGAGGGGGCTCTAATGTAACTAACTTAAATCAGCATGGTGTCACTATCGTGTGTTAGGTTGCAAGTTTAGTAAAGTTTTGTACCTTGTTCAGGTTTTGAAACGTGTTTGAACCAAATAAGATTAGCAGATTAAAATATGTAAATTCTATTTTATTATTGACTTTCCATTTAGAGTTGATATTTAGTTGTTCTTCACCAACTGTGTACCTTTTGAGAAGTCTCAACCTGACCCACCAAAAAGAATAAACTCACAACAATCCCCCCCCCCCGCAAATAGTAAGAATTGCCAGCCTTTCCTCACAAGTGATAGCAGTGCAACTTCAACAACGTGATAAATAATCATTTTCCTGATGGGAACTGTGTGACGGAGGAAAGAAGAGGTCTCCATACTTTGTCCCACATGCAAAACAGTAAAAGAAAAACAAGTGCAACGGAGAAGTGAAGAAATGGGCCTAGGGTACTTTCAGGAAAAATCATATTCACAGTTCATATCCAGCTTAATAAATAAATAAGCTTTCATACAATAGCATAGATCAAGGTGTGAATGAGTGCATACATGCATTCATGTATGTCGAGTGAGCCGTGGGTGAGTTTAATGTTGGAATGTATATCTGTGTACGGAGTGACTATATGAATTAGTGAGGCCAGTGTGTTTCCAAATGGAGTTTGTTTTGAGGGTAGGGCAGGCAGGGTGGTGAGGACGAACACTGAAGTTGGCAGGTGAATTGTACACTGCAGTTTAGAAGCGGATAAAGGTAGCGTCGATCTGGCGTACACTGGGCAGCGCCAGCATGATCTTTCGCCGGTACTGTGGATCCTTCTGTAGAGGGTTTCTTTCAAGATAGACCGTCTCCAGAGACTTGGCATTCTTCAATTCATCAAGATCTGACCAGTTATCTATCTGATTATCGTTCATCTGGAGAGAGATTGAAAAACAACACAGCCAATAAGAGGACATCACAACCTAGCAACATACAGTGTGGAGGATGTGGAGACCATTAAACAATGACTAAGTCTACTTCATCAATAAGAATAATTAATAAGACTTTGAATTATTAAAGTAACATTTTAATCAATCAATAATATGATATGAATAATGATATACTAACAATAAACTCAACTAAATAATTGATAATATAACAAAAGGAGTTGAATTAATAAGCAGATGAATAAAACAAAGATTATCCAAAATAATAAGTTAGAACTTTTGGTCCTCCTACACACACTATAATGTAGATGCACGAACCGAACGGCGAGCTCCACGAGCAGCCAACGTGGAAGTAACTAAAACTGCAGTTCCTTGAATGGCCACTTGAGACTGGCTCCAGAAGTGAGTCAATGTCCATAAGACCCCGTATTAAAATGCCCAACTTTACAGCAAAATTGCACATGTTTACAGCCTGGTGGTTTTCCCCGTTCATGACAGGAGGTGATTTTTTTATGTAACTCCCCTGTTTAAATTATATTAGTTATATTATTATTTAAATCAATAATCAAGGGAATGGCCTATGTGTGAAGTCACGGAGCATTTTGGTTGAATTTATGTTCGAATTTATAAGTCAACATAATAATGCAGTTCTTAAACAGGCATATTTGATTTCCTTTGGGTTTGTAATTTTCATTACATTTCTCATTATGATCTGTGCCTCTGGTGTCTTGTAGAAAACCTTTGCTGATGCACTGTTTGAAGAAGTAAAGTCTCTCAAGGACTGTCACCTGAAGTTGCATTTTACATGTCATAGCGCACAAACTAATGATGGCTGCACTCTATTTAGGTGAGCCAGTTCCAGCTCATTGTACATGCTGGCTGTTACTGGAGAATGGAACAGAGACGTTGTTATTGTTATTAGTTACACCTGTGCTTTCCTGTTATGTCAAGTCACGATATCTTCTGTGAAAAGGTGTATTCGTAAGCCTCTAGGTACTCTGTAATAATGTTGCAAAATAAAACATCACAAATGATCCGTACCCAGAACTCCTGCAGTTCTGTCAGATGGCTGATGTTTTCGATTTTCTTTACCCGATTGGCTGCAATGTCCAGGGTTGTGAGCTTTTTCTGTGAGTGAAAACAAACAGTGTTTGAATGTACAGAACAAATTTGGTTGTACATGTTTGCACAGTTAGCAAAGAACATGATGGGCTTTCAGTCCTTTCAGAAATAGGCTGTAGAATTTATAAAACTCACATTGTTTTCCAAGCCCTCAATGACCTCAATGCCATTGTGGCTCAGATAGAGCTCTCTCAGACTGACAAGGTTCTGTAGACCCTCAATTTTAGTAATCCGGTTACTCTGCAAATAAACGTACATAAAATGATCAATACATTTTTCTATATACACACTTCCAATGTTATTCTTCTAACCACTCAGACAGGTGTCGAAGGCAATTTGTGTGAGAATACCTGAATGCTTAAAACAGTCAGGTTGTGTAAACCCTCCAGATTCTGAAGCTTAGTTATTTTATTGGTGCCAAGAAACAAACTTTGCAAAGACGAAAGTGTATCCAGGTTCTCTATGACCTGAGAACAAAACAAAATGAAAGAGAGACAAATAAGCACAGCATTAATAATTCACACCATCATTTTGACAAAGCATGTTTTTATATTTGTAGTATTGATTTGCCATTTCTCACTGCCCAAGAGACCCTTTATGTCATACCCGGATTCGATTGGAGCCCAGCTCCAGCATCTCCAGGCCTGTGAAGTGTTCCAGGTTGGAAATGCTGCTAATTTTGTTGTGAAGCAGGAAAAGTTTCTTCAACTGAGTCAACTGCTCCAAACCCTCCACCTTCCTCAGCATGTTGAAGGACATGTCCAGCTGCCTGTGGATCAGTCAAATATGCTCATTAGAATGAATTATATTTGAGATGTATTTGTTCTATGTTGTCAGCTACATAAATAGTATAATCACATTATATTAGCGTGTAGAAATTGGATTTACTTAAAATAACTTGACTTTTGCCCTCTTTGCAAGGAATCACTATAACATATGGTTACAATAGAGACAAAGCCTACTGTTTTCTTCAGACTTACTCCAGCTCCGTGAGTTGGTGCAGGTTCTCCAGTTTACGGATCTGGTTGTCATAGAGATCTAGTTCTCGCAGTGAGGTCAAACTGTCAAGGTTTTCTATCTTTTTAATGAGATTCTGTCGTAAGGAGAGTGTCTGTAAAGAAATAGATATGGAAAAAGCTATTAAAAGATACAATCAATAGTAGTATTTTGTTATTGACCCTAAATCCTTCTTTTTTTGCCAGATGTAAAGAAAATGACACAAATTCTGTTTAGTTTTCCTGGTAAGGATAAAATAAATAGGAATAACCCCAGATTGTAACCCGCTGCCACCATTTACCACTTCATCACCTCACTACTGGTGGCACAAAATCCTGCTGTCACTTACTTTAGCCTTCTGTAGCACCTCCAATCCTTCAATCTTCCCAATGCGACAATGAACAAGATCAACATCCTAGAAAAAAAAAAAAACATACTGTCTGTAACTAATGTGAGTAGTTGTTAAGGTTTATTGTGTCATGCACACAGACGTGCCCAGCCCACACATGGACTTAACAGACTCCAATCATACAGTTGCAGAGGTGAAACATTTATCAGAAAGGAAATTAAATAACTTCCACTACTTCCACTCCCTAAAACACAACTTAAGTCTTTTAAAATTTAACTGAATTAAACTACTAAAAAGCACTACAACATAAACTTTGTGACAGGAGCTACAGACAAACAGCTGTAGAGTTTTTAGATCATCTTCTAACCTCTTCCTCTGGGTCCAAGGTTATGGTGTCCATGTCAACAGGAGACTCTTCTTTACCTTTAATGGGAGCGAGAGTACATCAGATAAACTAATACAGCCACTGCATCAAGGTAGGGTATTAATAAACATGATATAGACACAAGAAGCTTAGTTAGCTGTCATTCAGATACACCAATTGTCACACTTGTGATTATTCATGTTGACATTATATCACAGCGGACAGCCTGAATTATATCCCTGGCTGTGCTGGAGGTGGGATGATTTACCTGTGGTAGTGGGCTGATTGGGGTCCACATCGCCATTGATACTCCTCCTCCTGGTCTCATCATCACCAGACTCCTCAGACTCTCCCCTCCGGTCCACTAAAGTCAGCAGATAAAGACGAGCTTAATTTCACCATTACAGATGCAGAGCTGTTGTCTGATTATGCGTCAGTGACACATTTAACTGATGCACATGTAAAATGATGCAACGACCAGGCCCAGCTCCACCTCGCCCACTGGGGAGTCAGTGGATGTCATGTGGAGCATCCAGCCTCTGTGTGGGTTTACAAAACCATGGATGTTCACTAGATTGTGGTCCTGCTCCCTGCTACGTGTGGCGATTGCGAAAACATCGTGACGATACCTATACCACCTTATTAAATCGGCTAGTTTTAATTGCTGTTGATGTAATTCTGCTTGTATTGGCAATCTAACCAGGTTGGAGACAACTCGCATGCTAAGGTTAGCTCTCTTACATTAACACTCAGGCTAAACACTAACCATGCTAGCTAGCAGGGTAGCTCTAATTACATTCCGTTTACGAGCTAAAATGGGAAACACATTCACAGATAGGGGCGGACGAGCAAGGTTGAACAGAAAACCCCAGCTTCAGGCCATTAGACGAGACAACCGCGGCTATATAAACTGATATTAGATGTCTTTTAGCAGGACAGCATGAGTTGACGTTAACTGAATAGCGTCAGCTAGCGAGGGTTGTTGTTAGCCTGTTAGCTAGCAAGCTAAGGATGGAGGTCTGGTTAGTAACAAGAAAAACAAATCGCCGGATGTGCTCATATACAAATAGAAACGTTTCTCTATATAGATACCGGTTAACTCAGCCTATAACATTTTGTCTCGGCTGCGTCTTTAGATATTTACTCACCTTCCATTTCTTGAAGCTCTCCAACAGACCGAGAAGCCATGTTTCCTGTAAACAGTCCTGACAACCGCTCAGCCAATCAGGAGGAGGCTCATACTGCGGCCCGACACTAGAGGGCGCTGGTGCCACACAGTGAACACTGCTGAGGACAACGTGTGTATACCTTATATATGTATACTGTCAATGGTGTTTATCTTATATATGTATACTGTCAATGGTGTATACCTTATATATGTGTACACTGTCAATGGTGTATACCTTATATATGTACACTGTCAATGGTGTATACCTTATATATGTGTATACTGTCAATGGTGTATAACTTATATATGTATACTGTCAATGGTGTATAACTTATATATGTACACTGTCAATGGTGTATACCTTATATATGTACACTGTCAATGGTGTATACCTTATATATGTACACTGTCAATGGTGTATACCTTATATATGTGTATACTGTCAATGGTGTATACCTTATATATGTATACTGTCAATGGTGTATAACTTATATATGTGTATACTGTCAATGGTGTATACCTTATATATGTATACTGTCAATGGTGTATACCTTATATATGTACACTGTCAATGGTGTATACCTTATATATGTGTATACTGTCAATGGTGTATACCTTATATATGTATACTGTCAATGGTGTATAACTTATATATGTGTATACTGTCAATGGTGTATACCTTATATATGTATACTGTCAATGGTGTATAACTTATATATGTGTATACTGTCAATGGTGTATACCTTATATATGTGTATACTGTCAATGGTGTATACCTTATATATGTACACTGTCAATGGTGTATACCTTATATATGTACACTGTCAATGGTGTATACCTTATATATGTACACTGTCAATGGTGTATACCTTATATATGTACACTGTCAATGGTGTATACCTTATATATGTGTATACTGTCAATGGTGTATACCTTATATATGTATACTGTCAATGGTGTATACCTTATATATGTATACTGTCAATGGTGTATACCTTATATATGTACACTGTCAATGGTGTATACCTTATATATGTGTATACTGTCAATGGTGTATACCTTATATATGTATACTGTCAATGGTGTATACCTTATATATGTGTATACTGTCAATGGTGTATACCTTATATATGTATACTGTCAATGGTGTATAACTTATATATGTGTATACTGTCAATGGTGTATACCTTATATATGTGTATACTGTCAATGGTGTATACCTTATATATGTACACTGTCAATGGTGTATACCTTATATATGTGTATACTGTCAATGGTGTATACCTTATATATGTATACTGTCAATGGTGTATACCTTATATATGTGTATACTGTCAATGGTGTATACCTTATATATGTATACTGTCAATGGTGTATACCTTATATATGTATACTGTCAATGGTGTTTATCTTATATATGTATACTGTCAATGGTGTATACCTTATATATGTACACTGTCAATGGTGTATACCTTATATATGTACACTGTCAATGGTGTTTATCTTATATATGTATACTGTCAATGGTGTATACCTTATATATGTATACTGTCAATGGTGTTTATCTTATATATGTATACTGTCAATGGTGTATACATTATATATGTGTATACTGTCAATGGTGTTTACATTATATATGTGTATACTTTCAATGGTGTTTACATTATATATGAATACTGTCAATGGTGTATACATTATGTAGATTATTAAAATGTAAAAAACTAAAAACTAAAACTAGGTGTGAAAAAAACATTTTGGTCAATTTAATTTAGAAGTTCAGAATAGGTATTACATGTTGACTCCATAAACATGCACCAAATTCTAAACAATAAAAACTAAACTGAAACGAGCAAACTCACCGACTGAAATTAAACTAATAATAAAAATAAAAACTAACTACTATACATACTACTAATACCACACTGTAAAAATACAAGTTAAAGTCCTGTATTTAAAATGTTACTGAAGTAGAAGTGTAAGAAATATGTATATAAAATATATAATATATATAATATATAATATATGTGTAATATGTATAATCAAGAAAATGTAAATATATTAATTACAGGATTAAAAGTCATGTTATACTATTACATATCCTCCTGAGAACCAAAGAGAAAAAGTGTCTTACACTTTCTTTTTTTGTGTGATTTCCTGTCTATTTGGGCCTAAAAAAACACCTTACAATTAAAATCTTTTTGAACATATTTTTAATTTTAATTTCACAGCATGTCCACTGTAGAGGACAACAGGACGATTTCCGTGTGAAAATAGAGCTGAGTTTAGAACATACAAATCTGTTGCTTGTTGCTTGCAAGGACAAAAAAAAAACAGTGAACTATAAGACAGAACATTCTTCATTCTTCTTCCTCTGGATATTTTAGCGGTGATAATCCTGGAAGCATGTTTTGTTTTTGGTGATGCAGAGGAACATTTTGCATTTGGTGTATGTCTTGCCATTGCAGAAGAAAATCTTGATTTCTTGGGCAGTAGTATTCAGTGACACTCCTGTAGTTTGTAGCTTTGTTTTCAGATGTAAAACTATTGTTATTGACATGTTAATAAACAAGAATATATATAATTATCATGGTAAAAATAGCAGTAGATAAAGAATATTTGACTTACCTCTCCTCTTTCCATAAAATGTGGTTGCTGGTATGGCGGCCATCTTGATAGAGAAAAAAAGTAAAGTTCCCAGCATGCAAACCCATCACATGACACATCATTGGAAAGCCCAGGATGTCCTCTACAGAATAATATAGGGCTTGATAGGGTAACTTCAAATACTTAAGGAAGATACAGGTGAACAAAATGTCCAATATAAAGGACACAAATTAATGGGCCGGGTCTCTATATCATTAGATTATTATTACTCAAGCATAAATTTAAAAACAGCATTTTACCGTTGTGGTTGGTTGAGGTGGAGATCATTTTTTATTATTTTGTATTGGACTAATGATTATTTTCATTATGGATATATGTGCTGATTATTTTCTACATTAGTTGATTGATTGTTTGCTTTGTAAAACTTAAAAAAATGGTGAAAAATGCTGTCACAATTACCCAGAGCCCAAAGTGAATCCTCATAAAGCTTGTTTTATCCAACCAATAGTCTAAAACCTTATTAAAAAAATAATTATTAAAATATTCAACAGGGAAAAGCACCAAAGGTTTGAGGTACTTTACTGTTTGATACTTCTCCATTTATAAATTTCTGATGGAAATGTACCTTTGACTTAATTATCTGACAGCTTGTTACATTGCAGATTAGCATTTACAGACAAAACATATGATCAGTATGTGATGTGTTCAATTAAACTATCCAATATGTAAAGCAGTCCAATAATACAATATATAAAGATATAAAGTGATATAATTGTACAAGGGTCCACTCAACATAACTTGTAGTTTTACTTTTGTATACTTCACTAATTAAATAAGAAGTCTTTCACTTGTTATCATGTATTATTTTTTCTACTCTTAATACTTTGACTTAGTAAAGGTTGTGAGTACTTCTTCCGTGATTAATACTGACGCCAAGAACAAGAAAACTTAAAAACCCTTCATACCGACTGACATTTTCTAGGTGAATTACTGTTTCTAACACAATCGCTCTGAACGGGTTCCTGTTTGATTTCCTGATGCAAGTTTCTGCTGTGTCATAATGTATACTGCCATTGGTTGTAGCCGACTTTGATTACTCTCTCTGTGAAGTCCCCAGCACACTCACAGCAGACTGTTTATACAGTGACTTCCCATCAGTCTTGTATGCTTTCCTTTTTAAGAACACGCCTGCAAAAGATGGAGTCTAAAGGTCTGGTGACAACATCAATACCCAAACAATTATTCTTTGGTTTTATCATGACAATAACATAACATGTAACATTGTACATGTTTCCTTTTTACACACGCACCCATACAGACGACACTATAGATACAGCTCAAACTATCTAATCATTAGTATGTTCCTATGTCATTTGTTTCTGATAACATAAACTTGTTTATATGAAGCATCCGATATGATAAAAACAGGGACATACAATGAGATAAGAAGGCTGGGAAATGTTCCTCATTATCAGAACAATAGCCATGATAACAATGAGAGAAAGTTTAAACGTTTTACTTTTGAACAAGAGCTGACACCATTGACAAGGCAGACAAATGTGGAGAGATGGTGAAGTGATGGGCTGCCACGTAACGGCTCTCCAGGAGCATCTCAGCAAAATTGCCCCTGTCAGTTTGATTTTATTTTGTATTATCTTTTTGGAATTTTTAGATAATTTTATTTAATGTAGTGGAGATATTATCATTCCCTCAAGTGCAAGTATGTCATAATTGTAGTTAAGTATAATTTTTTATAATCATTTAAGTGACTTTTAATGCAAAGATGCCAAACATTTCTTCATCTGCTCCATCTTGTCAAATGTGAAAGTATTTGGTCTTCACCTTACATTTGTTGCATGGTTAAAATTAATGTATAAAAACCAGTAGCTCAAGTGAGAGTCAACGGTACTCTATAAAGACAATTTCATATTCATAAGGGGACCAGACAAGGAGACCCACTGTCTGCACTCAAGGGAGTAAAAGGCCAAGAAATGCCATAAAGCGACACTGCGGACAATGTTATTTTATATTTCACCTCTCCTGAACTCTCATTTACAGAACTAATGAAAACAATAAAAGAATATAGTGATTATTCAGCGTATAAAGTTAATTAATTAAAATAAATGTATGAGTATGTGCATAGGAAAAGCAACTAAAAGATGACTCTAAAGGAAATCTCAGATTTAAGCAGAACCAAAGTACAATAAAATATATGAGAATAATTATCAGAATCTAGAGAACAGAATTAAACAAGATTACCCATCTCTGTCTTCAGTGGAATAGACACAATATTCTTCCTCTTTCAGACCCTTTCAATTCCTCCACAAAAGGTAAAAGTGGGACTTTGGCCTGTGTAATCGTGAGGACACTTCTCACTATTTCAGAATTTGTGAATTTTTTGTGGAAATCACCTCCACCTCAACCAACAATTACCGTCAAATCCTGCTGTTACATGACTAATAATAGCAGTCACAGGGGGCATTTTTCCACATGGAGTACTTTTACTGTTACTGTATTTTTATCTTGAACATAGAACTTTTACAGTGTGGTATTTAGTTGTTCTACTTAAGTAAATAATCTGAACACGGCATGCTTTGACTTTCTCCTGTCACTAAAGGCGCTCCGTCCTTACCTGTTGCCATGGTGAACGGTCACTTGTTGCCTCGGTTACTACCTCTCTGTGGGTCACGTTTAACGTGCGTTTGTTTGTTAAACTAACTTTCTGGAGCGGATCTTTGGGCCACGTGCCAGCTTCCACTGGCCAATCAAAAGCGAGAAGAGGGCAGCCAGAGAACATTTAAAGTTCGTCAAAGTGAAAGCGATGCTTCACTGGGAGTGTCCTCCCCGACCCTCTGTCACTGTTTGTTAAAGGTTTTGCCTCTTGGTCTGCGGTGTATTATTAGAGCTACGGGTTACGCTTAAATGGCTTAAAACAATCCTCGCTATTTATATCTCTGGAGAGTTTCGTCTGTCCTCAGACTGGTTGAACGCTGGGATCTGCGGAATCTGAAACAAGAAGCGCTAAAAAAATAAATAAAAAAAAAAATGCATTTTCTCGGCATTCTTGTGCTAACGTTATGCGACCTCACGCTGGGGTTTCCTGCTCCAATAGGTAAGAAGCTTGTCTCTTTGCATTGCATGACTTTCTGTTTACCCGCTAAATACATAAGTTACAAATACAGCAGGTTAAAAGAAAAGGAAGTTAAGTCAATGACAACACTTGACACTATGACGTTACCCATAGTAACTAGAATGCCATTAGATTATCCAATTAGAGATTTATACTTTATATTTTTATACTTTTACTCCTCTACTTTACACAGGACTGTGGGGTTTTTTGTACAGCTGTCTTTTAAAAGTGTCATGTAGCTACACCTGCACAATGTCAATACAATGACCCTGCTGTAAATCCTCTCTGTGAAACTCTGGGTTTTTTTTATTTATTATGACGCAGTCAGGAAGGCGTTTCACACTGTGGTTGTGTTTATGTTTGTACTGAGTTGGACTGCACTTCCGAAACAGGTTAAAAACCACACATAAAAATGTCATTAAATGAAAAAAGACTAAAAGAACTATAATAATAAAAAAAAGGTCTCCTGTGTTGGATTGCATTAGATTGCACAGCTGTAATAATAAAACAGGTGACACAGTGTAGGCTTCTTTTATGACTTTTATGACTTGCACAATGCACAATGCATTGGATAGTGGAAACCAAAACATCTAAAGTGGGTTGACCTAATTCCAACTTTACAACATTAAAACAATGGAAAAACATTAATAATTTGACACCCTGGAAAGAAGCATTCACCAGAATGCTTTCACTTTTGGTTTTAATGTTTATTTAAATTGCGCAGAGTAAACTTTTGATGGAGTACTTCCGTTAAATGAGCAATCGTATATCAATCAAGTAATCAAGGACATTTATTCGCTGTTATATAACACAAGGCTGGATAACAAAATGAAGGTTTTGTGTTTCCTTCATGCTACACACATAGAAATAAAATAAAAACAGAGCTGTTACTATTTTTATTTACAGTATTTGGTTGTTTTCTGTTACATTTGATTTTCTTTTGCATCTTCTCTTACATTACATGAAAACAGGAACAGGAAGCATACTGTAACATATGGAGTTTCCCCTCTCCCCTCTTTTACTCTTAATGCGTGTATCTTGTCTCCCATTAGATACCATCATAGTGCAGGTCCAGCAGTGGGGAGTGGTGGGTGCTCAGCGGGTCATGGAGCAGGTCCTTCTTAATGGGGTCTCTCTTACTCACAAAAGCCAGGAAGTTGACCACATTGTCCAAACCATGTCAGCTGATGCGCTACCCCGAACTCTCATTAGTCTCAACCAGACATCACCAATGAGTAAGAAAATCATCATGTGCTATTAATGAATCTGACTGAAATAAATGATAAATTATTTATTAACAGCCTTTATCTCCCCCCTAGTTAATCTCACTGTCACTCGATCCCGGGAATGTATACTGGAGGGGTCTCAGCTGCACTGGGCCGATCGTGTGTTCTGTGATGGGAAGCTCTATCTGACTCTGGACCACACTGACACGTGGATGGCCCATGTACCACAAGCACGGGCCCTCAAAGCGTTGTGGGACCAGGAGGTGCAGCGCACCAGGATGGACAGGATACACCTTCAGGAGGGATGCACCAAACTAATGAGAGAACTGAGGCTGTCAGAGGAGCAATCAGGTAAACATTATTTTTTGCTTTTGAGAACTATGATGAAGCTCTAAAGGTCCAGTGTGTAACATTTAGGACGATGTATTTGTAGAAGTGGAATATAATATTTATAGGTATGTTTTCATTAGTGTATAATTATCTGACAATAACTTTAACATCATGGTGCAAAATACCTAATCACATCAATGAGAATAATATACAGTCATTTCCTCCCTAATGGCATTTTCATTTTAGGCCTTTCTTATATGCCTGTGATGTGATTGATAATTAAACACTTTATTGTAAGGCAGGACCCATTCTACATTATAGATATAATTAATCACAGAATTAGATAATATCTTTTCTGGGTTCATAGCTGTACCTGTCTGGTAGTTTGGACTATTTCTAAGGTTGAAAATTATTCAGAGGAGAAGAGCCTGAATGCTGCTGGTGGCTGTAAATTATGTAGGCAGCTGGTGGCATCTGACTGTAAATCATGTGACACAAGTGAAACATTAGCTTGTTTATGTGGTTGCAACAATCAACTTCCACTTGTGACACGAGTGACCAGTTTTGACCTTATTTTTTTTTTATGTTTTTCTAGTTCAAGGGACTCTTTTGCCTCAGTTTCTGATCCCAGTCTCGGCACTTCTTCTCTTCATTGGACTTATCATGATCAGCCTCCTCCTTTCTAAAAAGCTGGGTGAGTAGATAAGACTTTATTTGCCATTTGAATAAAAAATTATGTACAACCTTGCAGACTTCATGATGCAGCAAAGAGAAACAATGGAATACAATCCTATTCTGCATCTTGTCAGCAAAGAATGGGAATAATTTTCTTTACATCTGCTTTATTTAATACATCATTAACCCTCATAAATGCAGCATGCTTTGGGTTAAATGTGTCCTGTCACATGAGTTTGGTATGCAGTCTCATACTCATGGGGAAATATAAAGCATGGTCATGTGTTTTGTCTTTCTCTGCCTAGGTTTGAGGCACCCTGGAGGTAAGACAACAATCCTTATGTTTTCTCTTAGGCCTCTGTAGACTGTAGTCTACTCAGTTAAAGTCATGGGAGAAGATTGTTGAAGAGTTAAATATTAAATGAACTCAAAACCACATTCCCTTCGGATGGGCATGTGGTTTTGTCTACCCTCAAACACTCTGTGATACTGCATGTGATACAGTATGAACTTACTTTTATTATTACTGAATATGACTGGAACAGTTTCTCAAAAAATAACTCATGAGAATTTTATTAGAAGTGATGTACAATAATCCTGAACAGTGAATGAGAGTGTGCAGTTATTTGTGTTAGCTTGTTTTCTTTCTTGAGGTCATAAATGTCAGCCTAATGTTTCTTCTGTTTTTCTCCTTCCAGGCGTTCTTGGCTCTGTTATACATTACCCCCGGTACATGACTGAAATGTCTCCAGAGATAAAAGACAGCGGTTATCGTACCCTGTAATTCAAAGCTCCACTCTCTGGTTCAACACATTTTCGTGTGTGTGTGTGTGTGTGTGTGTGTGTGTGTGTGTGTGTGTGTGTGTGTGTGTGTGTGTGTGTGTGTGTGTGTGTGTGTCTGTGTGTGTGTGTGTCTGTGTGTCTGTGTGTCTGTGTGTGTGTCTGTGTGTCTGTGTGTGTTTTAACAGTGTTGCTTTATGAATGTGCAACTGGAGGTTGCCAACGGAAGACAGTGTGAAACATGTGATCTGGATTTCAAACCACAGTCTTTTATGCACTTTAATGCCTGTATTGCATGGTTGTTTTTAATGCATATTATTTTAAACCCTTATGCATATATACGCACACCAACGTGCACAAATAAATGTAAACATGTTCGCTGCCTGCAGCAATATGTAAGCTTCTTTTGCACAATTTAATAACCATAAGGGCAGATGTTTTCATGTGTCATAATTTCTGCATGAAGCTATTCGAGTAAATAATTTATATTGAAATTTAGCATACAAATTTTCTATTTCAACCACACACAGTATGTAATGCAAGCTAATACAGACAGTGTCACAAATATCTTAACAAACTCTGCCAAACACTGGATGGACAATGTGTGTCCAGAGTCCAACTGTGCTGTATTGTTGTTCGGTCTGAGATACCTTCCTCATTGTTAAATATTTTTGTATTTATTTGTAAAATTCTGCATTGTTGTGATTAATGTACATTTCCCCCTATTATTTGTACATATAAGGTACAGAAAATTTTCAAATAAAGATACTTTATGGCATGTTCATGCTGTCAGATTTATTTATTCACTTAGTGTCAGCAGATTTAAGGGTTATGGTTTTCTTTTATTTCTGGACAGATGATTTAGTAGGTTAGCCTCTCACATATATAATTAAAAGGAATATCTAAAATGAATTTCTTAATACAAACAGTTTCACTGTTGCTTAGTGTTTATATTTAGTGATGTGCATATAAATAAAATAACTGATGGGGGAACAGAGTAGGACATTTGCACCTCATTAAATATTTGAAGCACAACAAGGTAAAATATGGTAATTCTCTCATTGGATAAAAGCTTCTTTCTTTTTCTAACACAAGCAAAACGATCAGTATCATCTGCAGCCTCAGATTATCATCTTACAGTACGTTCCTAGCACATTACAGTCCTTCAAGACAATAATGTTATATTTTTTGATAAGGTTTGGTCAGAGACAAAATGTTCCCTTCGAGCTGCTGATTGGCCCATATAGAGCCAGCATCTCATTCGTCTCTTTATGAAATAATAATTGTGCCAGATTTAATATTTAATTTATTTTATTTTCAGGATTTTGCTGCAAAGTGGTTGTTGGTTCACACAGATTAGTCGGTTTACATGTTTGTATTATTAAGTAATCTGAGTCTTGATAATGTCTAAACTATTTTCAAGTTATGGCATATAAAGGACAACAGAGAATCTAACAGAAAACTTCAACATTACAGCTCTGAGTAAAGTCACTCTCACTAACACTTGACATACAAAATCTAATTTTCAATGGGTGAATAAACATGTACAGTACTCCTACTACTGATCAGCTGTGACTGGCTCAACCATTTGCTTATTATCTTCTTCTGAAGATGAGAAGAAGATTTTCTTAATCCAATCAGATAACTCCATAATTATAATTTGACAATTAATGTTCATTATGCCTTTTTTGAATAATTAAATCAAGGGTAAATGAATTATGACTGGATCTAAACATATATGTCTCCTACGATGCTTGTTGCACCACCAACTATGTTATATTGCAGAAACGCATTCAAATATATATTCCAGTATAAAACGAGTCTTCTACTGAAATATCCTTTAAACTTACTATATATAATATAGTATTATATTTATACAGTGTTTGCTTTATTGTCTGCTTTATGATGTCACTTGGACCTTTCTAAATCCTCTTTTAATTGGATAACTTTTAAGGTTGTTATAAATAAAGTTTTCGAGGTGTCATCCAGGAATCTCAGACATAAATCTGTATTACAGCACCCAATGTAATTCAATCTTTTGGAAATATAAAGCATAGTCATGTGTTTTGTCTTTGTGCGCCTAGGTTTGAGGCACCTTGGAGATAAAACAACAACCTCTATGTTTTCTTTTAGGCCTCTGTAGACTGTAATCTACTCAGTTGAAGTCCCAGGAGAAGATTACCAAAGAGTTAAATATTAAATGAGCTCAAAACCTGGAATCTCAGACACACATTTGTATTACAGCACCCTGTGTGACTAAATCTTACATTTTATTTTCCTGTGATTATCTGGACTTTAAATACATTTAACAAAAGAAAATGTAGACTTCTATGGTGTTTTATTTCTCCCGTTTCACACAGTAAAATCCCAACTCTAATACCATCATTTGGCCAAGAGATGGCGATAGTCGTTTAGGGAGGAGGATCGATTCAGGCGTTGATCTTCCAGGAAGTGTCCTCCACCAATCACAGAGACGCATTCGTAAACGTTACCGCAGCAACGTTAGGCCATATAACGGCAGCTCCTTGAACGAACCAATCGCAGGAGCGCTTTCCGACATTTAAACCGTGTGGCGTCATCGTCACGAAATTCAAACTTTAAAGACGAGAGAGAAAAGGCCAGCGCTGCCACACTGCGACACTGTGATCCACGTTTACTGAACAGGTGAGAACACTTTATTTATTTTGAAGTCGCTAAAGTGCCATGTTTATTCAGTTTGTTCAGCGCAGTGTTATCGTAGGTTTCTACTGGACGGTAATTACACTTTTAAAACAGTAATTCTCCTTCTTACGTAAACTGTTACTTTAGATTAATGCTAACTTGAGTTGGTTTACGTTACTTTAGGTTAGCTTAACGTTATAACTAACTGGTGTATTGCAGATTAGTTAAACCTAACGTTAAATTAATCCGTGTTTTCGTCCTCCTTTTTAAAGAAAAATGAAGTTTAGTGGCTCACAACATCCGCTAATGTAAATTAACGTCATTGCTAACGCTATTAGCATGGGTCGCCTAGCCTACACACCTAACGTAACGTTAACTCGTTGAAACGGTGACTCTAAATTACTGTTGCACATCCGATAAATGATTTGCCTTTATGTACACGCAGGTCGTGTGAAAACCTGGACACAATGGCTCATTTTGGGTTTGAGAACGACATCCACAGCATCTTGAAGCTGGATATGCCCATCACAAACGCTCCCATGGCGAGGTGGCAGAGAAAGGCCAGCTCCTCAAACACATCCGCCCTGAGCGGGTTGTCGCCCGGCAAATCCGCCAATGTGTCCCTGAGTTCATCTAAAACACCGAGCAAAACGCCAGGTAACGTGTCCCCCGGTTGCATTCACGCAACTTGACAAATCTCTGCAGTTAACGCCATATCTCTGCAAATGTTAACCACTGGGCTGTTTCTTTATTTTCGTCATAGGTAAAAATAAAAAACAAACCCCCTCTAAGATGGGGGGTGACCGCTTCATTCCCACCAGAAACAGCAAACAAATGGATGTGGCAAGCTTCCTGCTCACAAAGGAGAATGAGCCTGTGGACACAAGTAATACAGCAGGATCATCAGTAAGTTATTCATCCAGCAAGGGATCTATTTTATTTTTAATAAATGAAGGCTTTAATGATTTACACTAACATGTGTCTTTTGAAGGAAAGCCAGAAAGCCTGGTCTATGTCACTAAATGGATACAACATTGAAGATGCGAAGATCCTGCACCTTGGAGGACAGCCACTGAATGCACCAGAAGGTATGATATTTCTGTGCCAACATGGTGCACAGCAGGAATATTGCATCAATATAGAAAGTTGGGATTTTTTAAAGTTCATGGTTTTTTTTTTTTTTTTGGTTTTAATTTACAGGCTATCAAAACAACTTGAAAGTCCTCTACAGTCAGGCTACAACTCCTGCCTCTGTCCAAAAGACGAGATACATTTCTTCAACTCCTGACAGAATCATGGACGCTCCTGAGCTTCGAAATGATTTTTGTAAGTTTGGCACTTAATGTTTTTCATAATCAAATTCATTCACATTATTAGTTTACTCTGTATAATGTATGCACAACTTATCACATCTTGCATTCACAACAGGCCACTGAGGCCCTATATTAGTCTTTATACTATGTATAAAGATTTTATACATGCATGTTTAATCTTTATGGAAAAGGGCACACCTAGCAAACATTCATTTTTATTTTTTATTTTTAGATTTGAATCTGCTTGACTGGAGCAGTCGCAATGTTCTCGCTGTGGCGCTTCATAACAGTGTTTACCTGTGGGATGCCAGTCGAGGAGATATCACTCTTCTCATGAAGCTGGAGCATGAGGAGGACTACATCTGCTCACTGTCCTGGACCAAAGAGGGAAGCTACCTAGCTATCGGCACCAGTGACTGCAAAGTTCAGGTCAGTGTGCTGATGAACACAGCACCTTTTTTGGTTCATAAGGACACGTGGCACTTAAACTGCATCCTATATGTTTTTTAATGATGCATTTTTGTTTCCTTAGTTGTGGGATGTTGAAAACCAGAAGCGTTTACGTAGCATGGGCAGCCATACGGCTCGAATTGGTAGCCTGAGCTGGAATGACCATCTTCTTTCCAGGTAACTAATCTCCGACCTAAAAGACTAATTTATAGTTCTAGTGGTGTGTTTTTGAACTTGTGTAATATTTCTCTCCATCCTAGTGGTTCGAGATCAGGACACATCCACCATCATGATGTCAGGGTTGCAGAGCATCACATCGCGACGATCACTGGTCACTCGCAGGAAGTGTGTGGGCTAAAGTGGTCCCCCGACGGGCGATACCTGGCCAGTGGAGGCAATGACAACTTGGTGTGTGTATGGCCCCGTGTTCAGGAGGGCAATGCCAGCAACCAGTCAGTTCGCTGCTGGAGTGAACATCAAGGAGCTGTCAAGGTGAGTAGCTTTTAAACTTGCCAGGATTTATCAAGTGTGACTACTTGTCATTAAAACTCCCCTTTTGGATGTGTTTATTATTCTAGGCTTTGGCCTGGTGCCCTTGGCAGCCAAATATTCTCGCATCTGGAGGTGGTACCAGTGACCGTCACGTCCGCATCTGGAATGTAAACAGTGGCTCCTGCATAAGTTCCCTTGACACTCAGTCCCAGGTAACTGTACACTTCTAGACCCTTCACTTTTAATGGTTCTCAGTGAAATGTACTGCATTTTGTTATTTAACTTGGAGGGAACTGCATCACTGCAGGACACAGAAGTTTGCACACTGGGGTCAAAATCGATAGTTCTCTTAATTTTTTGTACATGAATATTTGTCTGGATGTATGTACACTTGGGCCCTCCTTTTCTCATAACTTTTTGCTTTTCAGATCTCATCTCTGGTGTTTGCGCCCAACTACAAGGAGCTGGTCTCTGCACATGGCTATGCCCACAACAATGTTGTCATCTGGAAGTACCCCTCTCTCACCAGGGTTGCAGAGCTCAACGGTAAGTAACTTTTAGACTGGATTGGCTCTGTACTTGTTCACACACAATTTGCTTTAAAGGAAACACTGCTGTACTTTCTGCTGGTCTAAACACATTCATGCTCTATGCTTTATTTTAGGCCACGAAGACCGGGTTCTCAGTTTGACTCTGAGCCCAGACTTCTCTTCCATTGCGACTGTTGCTGGAGACGAGACTATTCGTCTGTGGAAGAGCTTCGAAGTGGATCCTGTTAAGAAGAAGGCCAAAGAAAGGATGGTCAAATCAACTAGCAGTGTCATTAATCAGTCGATCCGATAATCTGTCTTGACATTTGAGT